GAGCTCGGGCCGCGACCGAAGCGGCCGGCCTGGACAGGGTTAACGGGAGAGCCCAGCCCGTCCCGCGCGGGGCCGCGGCGGCGACGGCCTCTTTCGCGGGCTTTCGGGTCCTGACGGGGAGAAGCCTGCCGTTTTGAGTGCCCGGGACTTCTGCCCCGGAGACTTCGCCGCCGAGCCCCGCGGGTTCACGGCTGCGGGAAAGAAGTTGAGGATTTTGCCAGGTCATCTCTGCCTGCGCGCGATCAGGGCGCGTTCGGTGTGTTTCGTCGAAGCTCTCCCGCCGTGTTGAACCAGCGTGCCCAGCCTCAAGGGTGCATCGTGGAAACTGAAACCCAAGGAGTGATGTAGGCCTGCTTTGTGTGTGTTTTCCCACTTTAAGCTTGTTTTCAGTACACCTACTCTTGCTTTAAACCTGATTGGACTGTGGCGAGCAGACATCTGTTCAAAGGTGGGGCTGAGACCACACTGCTTCTGAAGGGGGCTTGGTCATGTGGAAATATTTTAAGTTCGCTCTCCGGACTGTTTTGCTGTCTCGACTCAGGCAAGTTGCTTTCCAAAGTACAATTTTTATCTGGAAAAAGCTTTGATGTAGTCCGTAAGCGAGTCTTGTAAAGTACTTTGCCATCCCTGAGGTTTTGAAGATGCACTCTAATTTATGATGCAGAAGTGAGTCGTCAGAACTACTTTTTTAGCAGGTAGTTTTATCTCACGTAAATTTTAAGTTTTTTCTAACTGACGTATAACCTCAACTTTGACACTTCCATTTTCAGGCTCAGACTTTGAATTTAAGGAAACTGAAGACGACTTTATCTCCTTTTAACTTTTTTCTCTTTTTAAGTTTTTTTTTTTTAAACAACTCAAACATCCGTTACACTTTAACATAAATGATACATTAGGAAAGAGCGACGTTGTCTTGCATTTTTGCAAATCTTTTTAATGCCTAGTTTAATAGAAGACGACTAGATTCTTAAATTTACTAATGCATGCACTCTGTTGTGGTTATCAAACCATGTAACCTCTGGAAAACTCCACTGTACGCTCATGCTTTTAAAAAAATGTCATTCCTAGTCTGCTTTCATCATGCAAGTCAAATCAGGACAGTGTGCAAGACACATTTTAAGAATATGGATATGATTGATTCTTATACTTTTTTCTTGGGCTCTTTTTTAAAAACTGAGATGTAAGGGCATAAACAGTATCGGAGACTTAGGAACGTTTGGAAGTATTCTAAGTGATTAATCTTAGTTTTTAATTCCAACACACATTATTAATGATGTACACAAGCAAAATGTGAATTTCACTTAAATATGCTTGTGAAAATTTGTGTATACCTTTGAAGTTAGAACAAGTTGAAAATACTCTAGGCACTCCATATTTAAAGGGAATCCTTGAGTGAAACCGTTGGAGAAACAGAATTGTTTGCAAATATGTACCTTTAGAGTTCTCTGTGTCTTTGAATCAGTTTGGGTTTCTAGGTTGCAGGGACTGTTAGACAGTAATGTATAAAAATGTAAGGCCATACTTTAATAGTTTTGAAAGGAAGCTAAATTTGTTTCCAGTTGTTTCTGTGAACTCTAGTCTGAATCATCTGTCAGTGTGTAGTTCTCTACTGTTCCAACAACAGGAAGCATCTGGTCATTCTTCATGTAATTATTGAAAGATGCCGGGTGTATTTTTGATGTTTGCTGTTCAAATGAAAATAGATTGGCCCTTGGTTAATTTTGCTTGGTTTTAGTTTGTTTTTTTTCCCTTGGCATCTTAAAAGTGTCTTTATAATGGGCCACATCTTTTGTAGAATGGATTTTTTTTCTTGTTTCCCTTAAGTACCTGTTAAATTACAAATAGTAACACGTAAAGCATACATGAGGAATTCAGAAATCATTATATGAAATTTTAGATCATGAATTTGTATGAGAGTGCATGAGGCCCTTATCCATTCTCTCTTTGCAAGTAGCCTCAATATGAATGAAGTCACTGATGGCCTCCATTTCTTTTCTCTCACTTTGCCAACTAAAAAACCCCAACAAAATCTTGAAGTTCAGGACAACTTCGTTTTCTGGTGAATATTATCCTTTGGTCCCCATGACTTTCTATCTAGTAATCATAGTGTTTCTGTAGTATTAATGTGTCTACTTTGGGACAGTTAGAAATAGTATTACATTTAACATTTATGAAGATGCTTGTTCTGTCATGCTCTCTAGAAGGTAGATCTCTAACTGGATGAGATTAGCATCAGGGCCTGAGTGTTTCCTTAGTTTGACACCACAGTACTCTGCTCAGAGAAGATGCTTTGTTGCAGTCAGCTTCAATCAGCTGTCAGTTCAGTCATTGGTGGGCTGGTGTACCTTTATTTAAAAGGCTGAGTATGCCCATGACATAAGTGTAAGGGCTTAAGCTTGAAGTGATTTATTCACTAAAGATAAATTCATATTCATGGCCATTGACGTTTTTAGAAACAGCAATCTAAAACTTTTAGCCCTAGTTCTATTACCTTTTAATAGAATTAATGTAAAGGCTGGCCATTAGGGCCCCAAATCCTAATGCATAAAAAGAGAATGTGGGAAAGAATCATTTAAATTTTTTGTACCTGGCCAGGCGCAGTGGTTCAAGCCTGTAATACCAGCACTTTGAGAAGCTGAGGCAAGAGGACTGCCTGAGCTCAGGGGTTCGAGACCAGCCTGGGCAACTTGGTGAGACCTCATCTCTACAATATGTCAAAAAATTAGCCACCGGGGTACGGTGGCTCAAACCTGTAATCCCAGCACTTTGGGAGGCCGAGGTGAGGGAATTGCCTGAGCTCACGGGTTCGAGAACAGGCTGGGCAACTTGGCAAGACCTCGTTTCTACAATAAATCAAAAAATTAGCGTGGTGTGGTAGCACGCGCCTGTAGTTCTCACTACGTGGAAGACTGAGGCAGAAGAAGGATTGCCTGAGCCCAGTGGGCTGACGCTGGGGTGGCTATGAGTGTGCCACTGCACTGCAGCCTAGGTGACAGAGTGAGACTGACTCCAAAAAAAAAAATGTATTGAACACTCTTGTATAATTTTTTAAGTAAATAATTTTTAAGTTGGTAAAACAGTATATAGAAGGAGCAAGGTGTTAGCCCCATTTTGTGCTGGTTGTATTATATAGCTTTTTGATAGCATACAATCTTAAGTGGAACCTTGTATCCATTCTCAAACTTTAAGAACTATCTAGAGAGCTAATAAAAACACACGAAAGCCCAAGCTTAAGTAGGATAGAACCTGTTCCTCTGTTTTTCTTAAGTTCCCAAGACGATAGACACCAAAGTTTCAAAATCACTGAACTATAGAACATTTACAGGGGAACTTCATCACGATGGAAACGTTGAAGAAATGGGACATTTCAACCTAAAGAAGAGAAGCTTCTCTCTAAGAAATGATAGCTACCTTTAAATATTTGGGAGGCCTGTCACACAGAAGGTTCATATTTGACCAGAAAGAACTAGAATCAGTGGGTAGAAGTTAGAGGCAGGTTTCAACTGTCTTCCAATAGAGTTTCCTCAAAACTAAAAACAGTTATTTTTTTTTTTTTTTGCTTGGTAAACTGTTCCTGTTCACTGTCCAAGTTGTGAATTCTAGAGTAGAGGAATTGATGTGCTAAAGAATTTGAGCTAGGTTTCCTCAAGCTCACTGTAAACTTGGAGATTTTATGAATTTATGTCTAGGTTTGCAGGTATGCAGTGGAAGAGGAAAAGCTAATTGAATGAAGCAAGGTAGTTAGCTTAACTGGATCATAGTTTTCACTCTCTTGGTTAAAGAGAAGTGAGTATTAAGTGAGAGGGCTATTTGATGAAGGGCTATAAACCAAGCTGTTATTTAGCAGACTCAAAAGCCTATAAGGTATACCTTCTGACATGGAAATTCCCATTTAAAGAAAGTTAATCTTGATGTAATAAAGATGTATATGAAGGTTTAGCTGTGAGTATTCCGATTACAGCACTGTTGATAATAAACAATGGAGTGCAGTGGCACACTTAAGGCCACTACAGCCTTGACCTGCTGGGCTCAGGCAAACCTTGTCTCAGCCTTCCAAGTAACTGGAACTACATGCGTGTGTCACCACACCTAGGTAATTGTATAGACAAGGCTTGCCATGTTGCCCAGACTGGTCTCAAACCCACAGGCTCAGGCAGTCCTCTTGCCTCTGCCTCCCAAAATGCTCCCAAAGTGCTGGGATTACAGGCGTGAACCACTGTGCCTGGCATAATAAAAACTGTTTTAACCTATTTTGACCCCCACAGTAATCATGAAGTGGACACTTCTTTTTTATAAGTCAGGGTCTCACACTGTCACCCAGGCTGAAGTGCCATAGCACAATCACAGCTCACCGCAGCCTGGGCTCAGGTGATCCTTCCACCTCAGCCTCCCAAGTAACTGGAACTAGTGCCATCATGCCTAGCTAATTAAAAAAATTTTTTTTGTAGAGACAGGTCTGGCTATGTTGCCTAGGCTGGTCTTGAA